AAAAGAAAAAGAAAAAGAAAAAGAAAAAGAAAAAGAAAAAGAAAAAGAAAAAGAAAAAGAAAAAGAAAAAGAAAAAGAAAAAGAAAAAGAAAAAGGACTTGAGCAGCCCAGCGAGCTGGGGCCCCTGCTCTAAGAGCAGCCTTCACATATGGAAAATAAAAAGGAAGGGGAGAAAAGAGAGAAAAGAAAAGGGGGGCCCAAGTGCAACTCCAAGTGATTCCCCCTGTTCTCAACTACACCCAGTAAGGGATGAACCGAAGGGAACGGCCAAGCCCTGGTGCCCGCTGAAAGGATGGCAGGTGATGGGGAATATCTAGGACTAATTGCTAGTGCTTCCGCAGCCAGGAGAAATGGAAGAAGCTCCGTGATGTGGGTGGATGTGGCTTGGAAGGGCTGAGTGCTCGGCTCTGCCCGGGGATGGTGGTGGATCTGCCCCCCAGGGCCACTGTGGAGCTGGGCTCATCCGATGCTTCTGCTTCCCTCTCCCTGCCACACAAAGCAGAGAGCCTCTTGATTTCTGGAACCAGGGCAGACTGGTATAACCATGATGAGCCAAATCCAGCAAGGAAAGCAAAGGAGCAAGAGAACCTGCATTGCGCCGGCCCGGAGGTGTGGAGGAACCCCGCTCTGGTCAGGGGAACACTCCCAGGTTCACTCACAGAGCCACCAAGTCACGCTGGTGGTGGCACTAGGACATCGCACCAGGACAGACACCAAACCAGCATGTCAGGTCCTAGAGAGGAGCTGCTCCAGCTCCAGCCCCTCCACATGAACTGGGCTCCCGAAGGCTCCCGAGCACCTGGAAGCTGATTTGGGGGGACAATGTCCCCATCCTGGGACAGGCAGAAATGGAAAAAAAAAAAAAAAAAACCCTGCTCTTGGTGCCCACAGCAGCTGCCAGGGAAGGCAGCAGCTCCGCGCTGGGCAGCCAAGGAGGGACAACTGTCACCAGAGGGACGCAGGTACCCGGGGCCACGTCACGGGAGTCATGAGACTGCCAGCAATGCCGTTCATGGGGGCTCTGTTAATCGTAGATGGCTAAAAAGGCACGAGGCCAGTGCCACCAGTCCTGCTGTCCCACGGAAAGGTCCCTGAAGGCAGTCCGAAGCAGCCTGGGCAGCTCCAGAGGCAGCAAGGGCGTCTCCAGAGAGCCCTGGGACGCGGTGCTGGCATCTCCCGCCTGCCCCCCTGCAGCCGGCCCTGCCCAAAGCAGCAGCCGCCGAGAGCGGAGCAGGGTTGAGGGTAAAACGCCAGCCCCTCGTGTGCAGCAACGCTCGCAAAACCAGGAATCCCCGGGAGCATCCCAAGAAAAGCCTCTGGCGCCAGGCAGGCACCCGTCACGCAGCACGAGCGACAGCGTAAGGAGCAGGATCTGTTGCTCTTCCTTTGGGCCGCCTGCGCAGTCAGACCAGCCCCAAGGGCAGCAGCCCCGGGAAAGCTGCAGAGGAGCAGGCAGGTCCAGGCTGGCGGGTGCAGAAACCAGAGTCGGGTCTTGGCTTCCCGGGCTCTCCACCACCTTTGCCCGGGGCAACCCGCCGCCTCCCTCCCTTGCTGTAAGTTTGGGCTCGGTGAGAGGGACAGCATCAGCGAGGAGACCAGAAGCAGCACCGAGCAGCCCTAGGCACGAGCCCGCGCCCGGCTCCAGCAGCGCTCAAACCTCCCGGCGGACACGGATGGAGCCCGCGGCGCTGCCGAGCGCCCCCGCCTTCCAAGCGGGCACCGGGGCGGCTGTCCCGCCCCGGGAGAGACCGGAGCCTCCCTGCAGCCGCAGGCCGGGCGCTCCCCACCCTCCACCCTCCGTGCGGCGCCGAAGCGCCCAGGTCGGTGCCCGGGGGACGGCACCGGGGCGGGGCGGCAGCTGGGGCGCT